ACTAAACGCAAAATAATATTGTTACATGTAATAAAACAAATCAATAAGATACCACAATTTATCGAAAATGTAAGTGAAAGCTTTTAAGGAATCGAGCTTCTATTGTTAACTTCAGTTCATCACAGATTTTCAGATCTCAATTTCATAAAAATAATAAAAGGTACAGTGCGGCCAATAATGCTATGGAACCAACAGTTGACTTCGTTACGAAGCCAACAGCCATTGGGACAGCTCCATGTAGGGTTGTCCCACATTGGAATCATGTGGGACAACCTCACATGGAGCTGTCCCATTGGCTGTTGGCTCCATAACGGAGCCAACAGTTGGCTCCTTAGCATTACTGACAGTGCGACTACTACTCTATTTCTCATCATTCTACAATCCTTAAATAATGCTAGGTTAAATGAAACATTTAGAAAGGGGACACATGGCAACTTACAATAGGTATCATTAAAAAACAATAAACATAAGAAAAAGACAAAATTAAAATTGCAGTGGACCCTTTTTTCTTTCTGCATGCAATGGAGGTTGTGTTTGTATGGCTAACATCCCCCCTCAATTCGTGCCCTGTGTGAGAAAGAACGCCGAGTTTATTTCGAAGACGGGCAAAGAATTGGCCGAAGAGTGGTTTGGTGAAGAGATCTGCAACTTGTTCCGAGGATGGGATGTGTTAAACAGTGATTTGGTGTTTTTGAACTTGCTCTCTCACAAAATGAAGGTCGATGCCAACATGTTTTGATTTGGAATGAAAGACATGGTTGTTTGACAGATGAAGTGCACCCAAGTTATCAACCCATATGATGGTAGGTTTGGAAGTGGATATCCTCAACTCAGAGAAGAGAGACTGTAACCATAGAACTTCACAAGTGGCAGAAGCTAGGCTCCTCAGTTCAACTTCAGTGCTGGATCTTGATGTTGTAGGTTCTTTTTTTGAGCTCCAAGCAATAAGATTGTTGCCTAGGTATACACAGTAGCCACTAGTGGACTTTCAATCATCCACATCGGTTGCCCAATCAGCATCAGCAAAAGCAACAATGTTGGTGTGTGGAGAATGAGAGATAGTAAAGCTATGATCAAGAGAACCTGCTAAATATCTGAGAACCCTTTTCAGTGCCTTCCAGTGAGATGTTAGTGGATTTAGCATGTACTGGCTTAGCTTATTTATGCTGTAAGCAATATCAGGCCTTGTGAGTGTGGCATATTGGAACCAATGATGCTACTGTAAACAGTGGGGTTCTCAATGGGATAACCATCAAATTTGGAGAGATGAGGATGACTGATCATAGGGGAAGGTGTTCCTTTGGCATTAGTCATGTGAAGTTTTTGAAGTAGTGCAGATATATATTTTATCTGACTCAAGCAAAGGCCAAAGGGAATATTGGAAAATTCAATGCCAAGGAAGTGATGGATGTCACCCAAGTGTTTCAAAGAGAAAACTGAGTTGAGGGCCTTAATGGTTTTTTGAGTTGTCAGTGGACAAGAACCACTGATGAGGATATCATCAACATAAACTAAAATGAAGATGCTCACAGGGCCAATGTGTTTGTAAAATAAAGAGCTTTCTGACTTAGAAGTAATGTAACCAGGAGAGTGGAGAGTTGATGCAAGTTTAGTGTTCCAAACTCTTGATGCCTGTTTCAGGCCATAGAGTGATTTGTGAAGTTTGCAAAAGAGTTTCTCATCTGAATAAGAAGTTTGCTCATACCCTGATGGTTGTTCCATGAAGATATCTTTTTCAATGTCCCCATACAAAAAGCATTGTCAATGTCAAGCTGTTTTATTGGCCAAGAGTGTTGTGTGGCTAGAGAGAGAAGTGCCCTAATGGTTGCAGTTTATCACAGGGCTGTAGGTCTCATTGAAATCAATACCATGCATTTGAGAGTAACCCTTAGCCACAAGTCTTGCTTTATGTTTGGAGATAGATCCATCACTGTTGGTTTTGAGTTTGAAAACCTATTTACAGCCAATTGGTTTGACATTTGGTGGGATAGTAGTAAGAACCCAGGTTTTGTTTTTGTGTAAGGCATGGATTTCTCTATCCATGGCTAGTTTCCAGTTTTGATTACTGAGAGCTTCTAAGTAAGATGATGGCTCAGATAGTAGTTTAGTGAAGAAAATATTCTTCTTGAATATGTCGTGTTTTGATCTGGTAGTCATTGGGTGCCCTTGAGGTTGATGTGAGGAGGTTGTACTGGGAGATAGAACAAGCATAATTGGTAGATCAACAACTAATCTGCCACTCTGAATTTGAATTGGAGATTGAGATGAAGGGGTGAGTTGAAAGAATGGGAAGTGGATGTGGAGGAGTGGCTAGATGGTGAAGACTGTTGAGATTGTTGAGATAAAGAATGTGTTTGGGGATGAGGGGATTGTGGTGGGGAGTTAACAGGTGAGGAAACTGTGGGATGGGGAGGTATTTGAAAGGGAGGTAACACTGAAAGACTTTGGTTGTGAGTAGAGGAATCAATTATGTGGGGAGTCTGTGAAAAGGGGAAAATGATTTCATCAAAGAAAACATGTCTTGAAATGATAACCTTTTTGTTAGGAAGTAGAATTTTATAGCCTTTATGGGAAAGGCTATACCCAAGGAAGGTACTGGGCTGAGATCTATGTTCTAATTTGTGTTTGTTGAGTGGTCTTGTGAAGGGATAACATAAACAACCAAAAATCCTTAAGTAGTTATAGTCAGGCTTTGCCTTTGTCAACTTCTCAACTAGTGACTGAAAATGAAGAACTTTTGTGGGGAGTTTGTTTATAAGATGGACTGCAATTGTGAAAGCATGATCCCAATAAATATATGGCATGCAAGCATTGGCTAAGAGGAATATACCTGTTTCAACTATGTGCCTATGTTTTCTTTCAAGAAGGCCATTTTGTTGGGGTGTGTAGGGGCAAGAAAGTCTGTGGAGAATGTCATTTTGTTGAAAAAAGGTTGATAGAGGCTTAAATTCTATCCCACCATCACTTTGAATGCATTTGATTGGTTTGTTGGATTGAGTTTGTATCAGTTTGTGAAAGTGATGAAAGACAGCAACTACATTAGTTTTGTTCTTAAGCAAGTACATCCAGGTATGTCTGGTGTGATGATCAACAAAACTAATGTAATAGGAATAACCACAGGGAGATTTAATGGGAGTTGGTCCCCAAAGATCAGTATATATCAAATCAAATGGTTCAGCATGCAAAGAAGTAGAATCATTGAATGGCAATCTGTGGCTTTTAGCCTTAAGACATGAGGACCAAAGAGTAGCATTTTCATTAGCAAAGTAGGGAATGTGACAAGAGTTTAAAGCTCTTTTTACAGTTTCCATGGCAGCATGACCTAATCTAGAGTGCCAAGTATTGAGATCACATTTTTTTGAAGTAACAGCAGAACAGGCTGTTGGACAAAAGGGAAAATTTAAGCTCTTATTAGTAAGGTTTAAAGGCTGCAGGTGATCACCATTGAGAGTTGACAAATTGAAACAATATAAGCCATCCTTAACAGTCCCTTGGAGTAGAGGTGCTCCTGTTTCCTGGTCCTTCACAAGACAAATATTGGGGTGAAATTCAAAATATACATCATTATCTTTTGTGAATTGGCAAACACTGATGAGGTTTTTTTGCAATTTGAGGGACAAAAAGAAGGTTTTTTAAGAGGAGCTATTTTTTGTTGGAGTTGCAAGATTGAATTATTGAACTACCAATATGGGATATGTTCAAACCTGATCCATTTCCTATGTGAAATTTCTCTCCTCTAGTGTACTCAGAGGCCATGCTTAAGTTTTCCATGTCATAGGTGAGGTGATTGATGGCACCTAAGTCTAGGAACCAAAAGGTGTCTTGGCTCTGTTCAAATGGTGACATGCTGGCCACATTGGCTGACTTGTCCTGAGAGGTGCAGGAGGATTGTCCTTGTGAGTTAGCAAATGTGTTTCCTTGATTGTACTGGTTTTTGTTTTCAGGTACAAAGTTCATATCCATTCTGTACCAACATTTATCTGCAGTATGGTTCATTAAGTGACATATTTGGCATTTTGATTTGGAATTGAACCTGCCACCTCTACCCCTATAGGGTCCTGATCTTCCATAGCCACCTCTACCACCTCTTGGATTGAAGTTGTTGTTATTACTCCTTCCTCTGAAATTGTTAAAGCCTCCTCTCCTTCCACATTCGTTGGTTGTGGTGAAATTCACCATTGGGCTAGATCTATCTACTCCCAGCTGTGGCATTTCAAATGTCTCAAGCCTGCTTTCAAAGCTCAAAAGAAGGGCATGTAGATCTCTTAGCCTGCAGGGCTCAACTCTAGCTCCAATAGAGACCATGACTGGGTTGTATTCACTTCCCAGTCCAGCTAATATGTGTGTGATTTGTTCTTCCTCATACAGCTTTTGCCCTTCAACAGCTAGACCATCACAGCATGCTTTCACTTTGTTCAGATACTCCATCATGTTCATACCTCATTTCTTGAGATTTTGGAGTTGGACTTTGTATTGCATGACTTTAGCTCTTGATTGGCTAGCAAATGAAGTTTGCAAACTGTCCCAGATCTCAAAGGCAGATTCCAAACCAACGGTGGTAATAAGGGTACTCTCAGAAAGGGAAGATAATAGCCATGACACAATGAGTTGGTCTTGTCTAATCCATAAAGAGTCAGCTGGGTTTGGTATCTCATTACCTTCGGTGTCTGTGATGGTTGTTGCAGGTGGTTCTGCTCCTGAGATGTGGTTTTCCAGGCCATATCCTTTGACGGCTGCTTGTATTTGTTGTTTCCAGACCAAGAAATTGTTCTCAGATAGCTTGACTGTTACCACTTGAGCTTGCAACTGTATGGTTGTGGATTCTGCCGTTGCCATGTTTTCTCGGTGGTTTCAGATCAAGAATGAACGGGAAATCACAGAAATCGCTATCCCTAACTCTTACAGCACCGTCTAAAACCAGCCACCGGCGAGCCGCCGCCGTATCCCTCAGACGACCACCGCGGACGACCCTCCTGTTCCGCGACACTCAACCGACCACGTCACTCAACCACCGCACCCGACCACCGCGCGCGACCGTCCTGTTCCCTATGACAACCGCCGCCGCCGCCCTACAAAAAAAAATCCGGCTAGTCACGCTGAACGACCGCCGACCGCTGCCTCCTCTGTTCAGGTTCACGACTGCTGACCACCGTACGCCGTGAGACCGCCGTAGCAGCAACCCGACGGTCCCCTGCTCTTCTCCCGGCGAACCTGCTGTTCTTTTTTCGGCGAGTGGAGTTCTCACCGACCGCAATCCGAGAGACGACCGCTGCTGAACGATCAGAAAATTCAATTGCGGCAGGAATGACGCTCCTCTGGTCTTCTCTCGCAAAGGATTGCACCATCTTCAACCATGGCCTGTTCCGAAATCTTGGTGAGGAATCCCGCGCCCAGACCCGATTGGCGGAGGAAATGGGCTGTTCGATCCACTGTTGGAGACCAATAACCGAGATCCGCTGTTACCTGATATTCTGAAGTCGTCTCATCCCTTCACGCCTTAGATCGTGTGATCTCCGATTGTCCTGGAAGCACGCTTGAAAGAAAGCCGCCGCGACCTCTGCTGTTTTCCATATTCTCCGTCTGCTCGGCTCATTATTTTCTGGCTTCATTTGTCCAGTCGACCGCCATCCGAGAGACGACCGCGCCTTTGACCGCTCAGAAAATTCGATAACACAGCAAGCCGGCTCAACGTCGGTCGTCAACCATTAGTGATCTGCTCGCAGTCGGCTGTACTTCGCTGCCTGACCACCGACTATCTGACCAGCCCAACCACCGCGAGCGTGACCCTCTCCACTGCTACATACAAAGCCGACCGGCTGAAAAATGCAACCAGATGCTCTACGCAATCAGGGGAGTTTTCTACTTCTCTTGCCTTTATTTTCTATATTTTGTTTGAGCATTGAGTTGGTGCTATTGAGGACAATGTCAATTTTTAAGTGTGGGGTGGGGTGTCCATTGCGATTTTTTAGTTTTGTGTATGCGTATATATCTATCTTTTTTCGAGATTATTTGTTATCTTAGGTGTTGAGTCTTGTTTATTTCTCTTGTGGTTATTCTCGATTCATTTGGTGCCAATCCGGTGAAAATTGATTTATTTGCATGCGAAAATGATTTTTGAGTCCTTATTGTTACTTGGTGATTGATAATTCTTGATGATTAATTGACGGATGAATACATGTGATTCGACACATATTACCTTGTATTTAGTGAGATTTGAGCCTATGAGCATAAATTGAATATCATGCTCCGTTTCCTTGATTGTGGGTTGTCATGACTAGTCGGTTTTTCTAGAACTTGCTTTGGTATGCATGTCTTTGTTTACTCATTTGATGAATTTGGATGCACGATATCTTAATAAGTGTATTAGGATTAGCCTTTTGTTTTTAGCCTTTTTCTTGAAAGCCTACCCATTACATAGACCCCTAGTGAGCCAAGTTTGAGCCTTAGCCTTTTCTTTCTATTAGCCACGTTACAAGCCACAATATCCTTTTTTTGTTGATACCCTCTTTGAACCTTGAGTTGAAGCAATTATATGAATTCTTTGTATTCATGATGAGCTTATGTGTGTAGACTTGACTGTGGTTTGTTTGATGTCTAGTTATCTAACATCTACTAGTTATTGTCTTCTCTCTGAAAAAAAAAGAAAAAAATATCAATCAAAAAACTCAAAAAAAAAATAAAAAAAATGAAAAAATCGGAAAAAAAAAGAAAAAAAATGGAGAGAATGACGATGAAGAGAATTGTGCTATTTTATTCGTTACGTTAGATACATTTTGTGAAGTTAGACAGTCAAAATGACTTCTTTTGGGATGTGCTCCATTTGTGAAGAGTTTGTATGATTGCTTTGATTCTCTTAGCCTAATATGTCCTTTTATCCCACCTTACCTAAGCTCCATTACAACCCATTTAAACCCTTCGATATTGTGTATTCATATTGATTCTTGGGTGGACGAGCGTGATATATTTGCAAGCTTATGGTAAAATCCTTCATTGTCTTGACTTGAGCGTACACTTCATATTTAGCCTATACACATTCGAGCGTTGAGTGCATCTAGCGAGAAGTTGTCGAATCTCATGTGTTTTAAGTTATTTAATTGTTGAGGTGATTATTCATTGATGTTGGTTAACGAGGATTCTTTCTTGAGCTATGTTTTTGATGTGTGCAAAATAGTTTTGGGTTGGTAACGAATGATAGAGATGATTATGAGATGAGACATGAATTTGACTTGATGCTTGAGGACAAGCATCGTTTAAGTGTGGGGTGATTTGATAAGTTGTATTCTTGGCATGTTAATTGTCATGTTTTCCATACTTTTCGGTGTTTATTGGAGTTTATTTATTGCTTTTAATTGAATTTTATAATTTATGTAGGATATCTCGGAATTTGGAATTTATGATAATTGAAAGGCGAAAGAGACGAATTTGAGCTAAGGCGTGGGCACGCTAATTTCCTACAAGAGTTAGAAGAAGGAAGGAGTCTTGAGTTGGAAAGAGAAATAAAAGACTTTATGGAATTTATTTATTTATGGACTATTATATTTTATTAGGATATTTTGGAGAGAGAATGATCTCTTTATTTTCTACGTACTTTCTGCTAGGATTAGGATTAGACTGGTTTGATTAAAAAAACCAGACTGTTAGATTTATTTTAGGATCTATCTTTTATCTGATCTTTTCTTTTCTCTTCCTCCCCATCGACGCACACCGCCTCTTCTTCTCTTTTCTTTTCTTTTATTTTTCTCTATTATTTTTCATGAATAATTGGGAGGCTTCTCCCATGTTTATGGAGAATTAATTTATTTTTCCAGCCAAAGGATTAATCTAGACTTGGTTCTTCATGATTTGTGAGATCTAATTGAATTTATATTCCCTACTTCTCTTTTATTTATATATCTCTTGTGATTATTATCAATTGTGTTTTAATTGTTGATGCAAATTGGCCATTTGTTCGATTGTTGAAACGCATACTGTTATTTAGGATGGTTAAATCCGTAATTGTTTGATCGTTCTAATATTTGTGGCAAATAGCATAGTTGATTACTAAGGGTTTTCGATTGTATGCTTAGGGAGATATATGATCTAGTCTAAATGATCCTACATGTGCGTTTGTTGGCTAGAATTGGTGGTCCTTCTAGATTTCAATGCTGTTGATAGATTAAATCCTATGATCGTATCTAGGGTTGTCTGTTGATTGGAGAAATAATTAGAGATCGTATCCTGATTATCGAACAAGTAAGGAAGGATAGGTTATTAGGTCGTACCAATAACCATAACCAATTTAATTGAGAGTAGGAGAATTATCTTTGCATCTATGATCGAATCATTGAACCATTTCTACGAATTTTTCCTTTGGTTGGATATTTTATCTCTGTGATTTAATCTAGTTAAATCTCGAATCTTTCATCTTTGTGTCTATTTTAATTGAATTTAATTTTTATTATTTTAGGTAGTTCGATCGATTCAAAACCCCCATCTTTTTATTTATTTGTTATTCCTTCACGAAATAGTTGCATCAACTCATTTCATCCGATCTCTGTGGATACGACCCTACTCATTGCTACTACAATTTTATATTTTAGACGAGTAGGAATTTATTATTGTTGGTTGCGACAGCCATCAATCAGACTTGTTAAATTAGTATTAAAATTAATAAATTTTGAGAGGAAGATGCAAAATTCATTTAGAAATATTGGTTAAATATTATATTTGGTCTCATGTTGCAAATCAAGTCTTATATTGACTATACAATGAGACCAAATTTGCAACATTAATAATAACACTGAATAAAGGATTTGTTTTTCTCTAACGCGCGATTATAAAATTGAAGAACTGAAATAAGAAGTGCAAGGCTTAACCAAATGGTCACACACAATCTCCAACAAACTAAAATGTTAGTAGAAGAGAGTTGTGGGTAAAATTACATGCAATGCATCCCCCTTGCAAGCTACAACATGTCTAGCCAAATTTTAGAAAATAAGAAAAACAAACACCCAGCTGATGAGCCGAGAGGTAGATGTCTTCGGCTATGACATTGAGAGAGAGTGAAAAGATACTCTTCTATTCAGATTTTGTGCAATACCCTTGACATCTGCCTCATAAAAAATGAAGTTCCAGGAAAGGTGAGAGGCATAGTCCAACAACCATCTAATAGTTAGGAGGCCTGCTTCTATCGGATTTGCAATGGTATCCCAAGTTGTTCTCTAGGTCTCTATGATGGTTCGATAAAGTAGATCCTCGAAAACTAGTATAACCCAGGTGGCGCCTGCGAGAAACTCACACACCGACCATGCACCCAACGTGCCCACTCGTCTCCACACAGCATCGTGGCCGGTCTGCGGCCTGCCTGTCAGTATCTGCAGGTTCTGCGACTGCTAGTGATTGCCAGTGAGGGTGGACTCGATGTAGCTGCGGCTGCTGCCTCTTGTGATGTCACCACGTGCGGTGGTCGTTTGTAGTTTGGCACGCCAAGTTTTGTGGTCATCTGAGGCGCCGCCTAGATATATATATACTCACTGGAATACGAATGTCAGACCTGGGGATCTTCTGCTATATGACCTTTACACATTCTCTAAATAGTCTTGGTGGCGCGACTAATCAGAATTCCCGTGCCTCACAACATCTCACGATTTTTATCTCTTTTTCTTGCTCTCGATTTTTGGATTGATGTCTTGCTTGAGAAGTTGGAAAACTCACTTGTGGTTCAAATGGTGGGGGCTTAGGAGTTGGCGTATTTATAGGCTACAATAAGGACTTTAAGGTGGTGTTCAATATGAGCTTCCAAGTGTGAACGCAATTGTGGGCCTGGTGTAGCATGTGTTTACACTTGAATAAGAAATCATTCAACTAGAGAAATATTATTGCACTCCCCATTTAGCTCTGAATTACAATTAATTCGTCTCCGACTAATTGCTCAATATACCTCCCTTTGTTTAAGATCAATTTCTGTTGATTAATTTAATTACTTAAATTAATCAACTTCTTTATCCGAAACTAGTACCAGTCAATTCTTTATTAATATGTCAGAAATTAAGCCACTAGTCGGGGTTAACATAATAATCCTTATTGAGCTAATTACATGGACGTCATCAACCAAGCGGACCGGGACATGGTGATCGTAAACAATCTTAACGGCACATCATGCACTGAACATTATTTATCAAAATAAGGAGTATGTCGTCCTAACAGAATAAGTCTCACCCATAAAAAATCAAATAAATAAGTACTGAATATATATATGCCCGTTAATTGTCTTACATGTTAAGAGAAGGCAACGTTTACTGAAGTCTAGATTATTTACTTGGTCAGTACAAAATAAATTAATTTATTCTCCTGTAGGTCCGTTCAACACATCCAGGATGTACAAGTGTAATTTGTTAGCCAAAGATCAACTAACTCGAAAATCACATTACATCATTTGGCGACAATTAATTCAATTATGTCTGGCTGTCAACAAATATTTATATTTTACAAGGCACATATAATATGATCTTTCTGTTCGAGACATCTAAACATATTATCTACAATGTAAAATAAGGAAACTATGTTCGCATAAATAAATAGATTACGAACATTTACTTGACTAGTATTATGAATCTCATTTAAAATGAGATTGTGTATAACAAAAAGTCGAGCCTCTGCAGTATACTCCAACACATAGCTCGGTCCACCATAGAATCGAAGCCCATCACTTTAGAGAATGTTGGTGAAGAAGCAGAATGATTAAAAATCTTTTTTATCTATATTTCATGTTGGAGTAAGCCTCTAACGCGTTTTATGATTCATTATGATAGACAAACTGCTACACGAATGGCACAAAACATGTATAACGGTAAGTCTAGAAATATTCATTGTAGATATTATAGTTTTGTCAATATATCACAAATTATATTATTTATATTGACTAAGGAAAATATTAATTTTGTGGGCTCGTCGTCTTAATCGTCTGGGCTCGTCCGCGTCCACGGGGTCAATATTAATATGTAGGTGTTTGTGCCTCTTTCATGAAGTTTTTACCCTCCTTGGTCACCTGTATGATTTCAATGGGTTGGTCCAAATTAACTTTATTTTAGTTCTTATGGTGTCCGTTGACATTGGTTGTACTCTTTTGTGTTTTAAGTTATTAATATAGTT